GGCGCTGGTAGACGGGGGCGATGCGGCGCAGGCAGGGCACCCCTAACATGGCCGGGCCCGCGCCTCGGCCGGAGCTCCCAGGAGCCAGAAGGGAGAAGAGGTGTTAGCTCGCTCCCCAGACCGACCGTTGGGCCCAAACTACAGCGGGAGCTTCCGCACTGGGGTAAAAAGCTCCACAAATTACTGCAATAAGAGGATGGGGGGGGCGGTGGAAGAGGGGTCACGCTCCTGTTTTCTCTCCTCTAAAATAGCAAGCTAATTCTAAGCAGCAGCACTTCGGCTTTAAGACCAACATACTGAATGCAATGGTGCGGTAAGACTGAGACAGCATCCAAGCATTTACAAGATGCTAGCTACCTTCTGCTGCTTTTCAAGAACTTGCAGACGTTTGCACAGCTACAACTTGCTCATAGTGCAGGGCACTAACGTTTTCTTACAAAACACTTGGTTTGCATAGGCAATTCACCACACAGTCAGCATTGCTCAGGCTAAAAAGGTATCTTTACAACATAAATTAAGCTGCAAGGCCTTACACTAGATAATTCGCGTTGCAAGTGCATCCTTATACTCTTACTAACTGCATACATCCCACTTTGTAAATATTCATTCAAATTCCAATGGGACAGAGCTCCTCCCCCTGTTAAGTTTACTGTTCCGCAGCTTGCTTATCAAGAATTAACTGGAGCAAACCTCAGGTATCACAGTCACAAAGGTATCATGCGAAACATCCTTGCTGGGCCGTTTCACGTTTGGGTTTTGTCACAAGTGCATCTCACAACAGTTCGAGATACTTCAGTTGCGATTTTTCCATCCAGAACCCAAGAAAATAAGCACGTCTGTGAGAACCCACCCGTGTTCCAGCCATTCTCTGACAACCTCATGCCCCACGCTCAGAGACACCGTCAATTTCTGTGTGCAAAGAAGATCTTCAAAAAGAGCCTTTAGACTCAAGGTGTTTAAACTGCACCTTGAGTTAATTTCCTACAGATTTCTACCATCTGAGCAGAATGGAAAGGAGTCAAAGGGCTGGACCATTAATAAGAACTCCAAGCTGCTGTATCCTCATAAAAGGAGGATAGGTTTTGAAATTACAGAAACCAGAATGTATTTGATATAAAAAATTATGTTTGTGCATTGTTAGATATTGCACACCATTTCCATGTGGCAAGTTTGTTTTAATTTATTCAAACTTCAATCAAGTGAAAGAACAGACATCATAATTACAAACAGTGGTACCTCTTTTTATTAGTACAGACAATATAAGATGCATAGCTTTTGCAATGAAAAATTATGTCCAGCTTTAAGACACCTGGTTAATGACACGGTCCTGAATGTCTGCCTTGGGCAGAGGGGCAAACTTCACAGTGTAAACTGATAATACAGGGACGATCACACCATGGCATTTTTCATAAGACTCCCTGCTGATATTATCAGAAAAAATTTGCAGTGATTAAAGAGGATGTGTTTAACTGCAGAACAGTTTCAAGTATTCAAGTATTTACTTTTTGGTTGTGTAAAACCATCTGCTTTCCCTGTTCCCCTCTCCTTCCCAAAGGGGCACCAGCCACAAGGGTGATGCTAAAGAATGCTTTTGCAAGACAGCTCAAGTTCTTCTAACACAGAAATGCCCTCCCAAAAGCAAGACTGATTTTTGTTATTGCAATAGACAGCCGTAGGAATAATTTTACCTCTGTGAACGTTACAAATACATTTTTTTAAAGTAATAAATTATTACAAGAGAAGTTGGAAAAAGTTTTAGATTGTTTATGGGAATAGGCAATGAAAGAAGACAGTCTCACCATTGCATAATCTCCTCTGACAAACAGGAGAGTACACCTAAACCATTTTGTTCTTAGGCTGTTTGACTGCCAGAAGGCAGCTTCTGCACATTAATCCTAGTTAGAAAGAGACCTTATGAACTCTTCGACAAAATGCCATTTCATATATTTCAGCAATTTAGCAGCAATCAGGTATTTTACTTGTGTCTACAAAGTCTACAAAGTATCTGAGGCGGTCACCAGTTCAAACCACTGTCTGAGCGCGTCACTGAGAGTTTCTGGAAGAGCATTCACATCTCTAAGGATCATGTAGAACGGGAATGGGAATTCTTCCATGTAAGATCTGATTTCAGGTAATTCTCCCGGTCCTTTGAATATAGGAACTTTAATGTCCAAGATGGAATCCTGTTTAAAAATAAAAAAATGCTGGGATTACTGAACTGAATGCATCCTTTGCTGGCCTTTGATATCATTTACCATATTTTTTCAAATACCTGAAATTCCTCCTTTGTTAAATTAATGGTTAATAAAGAGTTTTAAGATTCAAAACATACAGGTTCAATTGTAGGTCAAATCAGATATCAAAAAGCTGAACACAGAGCTGTTAACTGCTTTTGCCCTCCTACCTAAAAGTGCTCTAAACAAAGAACTACAGACTAGAAGAGAGCAAACTTCAGCTTTTACAATGTAAATATGAAGTTCTATTAAGCAAATTCTGTCTTTTGTTAGTATTTTGTGATTTGCGTTTACCGTTATTATTTTATTTTTATACATTTGATGCCTTCTGCTGACACTTCCTTCCTGTCATCTGTAAGCTCTTCAGAGCTAAAAGTTTTTAGCTTATGTTTATGCAGTGACTGAATACAACAGGGTTCTCTACCAAATTATTTTATAATATTTCAACAAATACTACAAATTATAAAACCAGATTAAACTCCAACTGTGCTTCCTGTAAAGTAATTTCCTAATTGATCAGTGTAGCACATCAGAAAATTAACAACCCATGTGAAAAGCCCATTTCACTGCTGAGAATTTTAGCTGGACATCATAGCTAGGTTTAATCAGAACTTTATAACAGTATGTCAACTACAGAAATGTTATTTTTTCAACAATAAATATTCAGTACCAGGCAGTTGCGTTTTCTTGCGGAAAATAATGAGAATAAATATGATAGAAAGAAAGCATGAACTACACAATTAGATTCCTCCTTACCAGGCTTCACCACATACTTCAAAGTTTGCCCGCTTACTGCACTACAACAGCTTTCCAGCCTTTGAAATCTCACACATGTTCTTTTCTAGCTACTAAATATGCTATCCAGCTTCCTCAATTCAGACACTAAATAACTCTCACATACTCCTTTCTGTCTGATGTTTAATCTCATACTGGCTCCAGCTGTCTGGTCAAACGGAGACTGCTGTCAGCAGAGATCATTTAGAATCAAAACCGAGAAGGAACAAAGCAGCTCTCAAACTATGAAGCTGTCAACCTGCCAGCTACTTCTCTGGTGGCCAATATCTACAGTCATTACGTTAGACGAAAGGAGTTCTTATTCAGGATATTTGTACCATGGAAGCTGAATTTTTTTTGAGCACAAAAGAAGATAAACATCACAGCAGGGAGAAATTGTAAGAGATCTGACATTGTGGAAAAAATGAAATTGGCCTAAATATCTTTGACCTCTGCAAAAGATACGAGATAGCTGTCAAGAGCTACAAAGACAAGAAAAAGATTTGTATCAATTCTCATTCACTGTACTGGAACACTTCCCCATTGTTCACTCACTTACCCGGGAATTAGGATTGTCCAACACTACAAAAATGACAAAGATATTGGCATTCTGAGCTGCATGAACTGCTGCTGTCACCCGTTCCTTGCCTTCCAAGAAAAGGCCTCTTCCATCAGATACGATCAAAAGCAGCTGTGCTGTTTCTAAGCACAAAGAACATTTTAAATTCCAGAAAGTTAAGAGTAATTCTTTTAAAAGGTAAACAGAATATTTTGTTGTTACTCCTGTTAGGTATAATGGAAAAACTCTCAGAGTTTATGCAAGGAAGTTGAATGTTTAGCAAATAGAATTCTTTGACTTAACATTAAACTGCAGTTACATGTAGGCTGAGAGAGAGTTGTTTCCACTGTGTGGAACCACTGAGGACAACCTGAGGACAAAAAAAGTCCATCAGTACCATAAGCAAGGATGAAAGGCATGGAAAATATCTAAGGAATTGAGTCATGGTCTTGTCTTTCCTGCCTAGTAAGTGCGTAGCAGTTAAATACTGGCTAACTTTTAAGCATTCAGCCACTCATCACTAGCTTTGCAGAGCACTGGCTGCTACACTGAAACAGACCACATCTAGTTCTCCTAAAGCAGGTACTTATGTGTCCACCTATATTAGCATTTCACTTTGGACTAGGATTATGCTTTAAAGTCCGTTTCCCTGTTGTCCCAGCTTTAATGGGCTTTGGCTTCCATCACAGAGCAATCTTGGAGTGCACAAAATGGATTACTTTGGATGAAACTAAACTGGAAGGTGGGTTCCAGAGGCCCATTCAAGGCAGTCCAACCACAAAAGGGCATTCAGACCTCGGGACCAGATGAGCTAGTCTGAAGTAAAACTCCTGAAACACAGACGACAGCACAGACACTGGGTCCTTCCGTACCAAAACTATTTTGCTGCCGCCATGTCACCTCTTGCCCCAACTTGCTGAAGTTGCCCATATTCAGCAGGCATGCCCCTCTAAAGGGCCATCCATTCCAGCTAAGCTAGGTTATCTGTTCTCTTTTTAACTATAACGGAGTCAAGTCAACAGAAAATGCAAGTCCTGCCCTCAGTGGCTAGGGATATAGACTGCTTACTCCTTTTCTGCAGACAAACCCTGAATGTGGCACCCTGAATGTGGCAGGGCTTAGTCTTTTTATAAAAGGGTGGTGATGTTTCCTACTACCTGCTTTCTTCCTACCTCCATGCTGCTGGGGCTTGTCGCTACAC